TAATGTCATTTATTTTTATGTAATTGTTGTCTTTGTTTTTACATATATTTGTCAATTTTGGTGGTAGATATCAACTGTTCTTTGAGACTTTTCTATTTATTTATAACAAGTAAAACGGCAGAACCGTGTTTGGGACAAGACTCGGAGAATCACTACTAAGTGGAATCACTTTGACGTTCAAGGCGGGTCTCATTCTCATTCTCCAATCTTTGATATCGCTGCTTTTGGGCGCAATCGTTCAAACTTTGCCAGCCATGATGCATTTTTGATGAAATTAGCCTATCCAATTTTGAAATTTCTCTCCACTGCGTGTCAGCTCAGGTTGAATTTTTGTCAATGAGTAACGAAAAGTTCCCTTCCCGTTTTTGAAAAAAATAATCGTGACTATTGTATCGTCCGAAATTATTCAATATACAGTTTAACTCAATTAAAATGTCATTGAATGTAACGACAACCCTAATATAACATCAAATTTTTATCAGTCCTACGATTTTACTATATTAGATAATGTTAAAAAAAACCCACTTGTAATGACATAAAACCATTTTAATGCCATATTTGAAGCACTCCCAAATTTACAAAAGTAAATTACAAATTTTATTTAACATAGAAGAAACTATGTGTTCAGTCCTAAAGTCAGAGTTCACTTCTTAGAATGACTGTGGGTGGTACTCTCCCCCACCTGATTTTTGAGGTGGCTGTTTTGCCTGTTTGTAGAAGAGGGTCGGCATTTTGTATTTTATTTTGACTCAATTCTCGGTCCCCTGACTACCTACAAGTCTGGATTTTTTTTATGCGCAAATGATTTGGGCACCTAATACTCTGTGCCAAATATCAACTCTCGACATGTACTCCTTCATACCTCTATGCTGGTAAGAAAATCAGGCAGTACGATTTTATAAACAAGACATAGTCTTGTCAAAAATAAATAAATAAATACAGTATATAATCTATATAAATATGCTTGTTAATCACAAAATCGTTCTTTTAACTCTTAAATTTAAATAATATTTCTTTAAATTGTTTCTTAAAAAATATTATTTAAATAAGTATATCAAACATCGCGAAGTCTGATATGTACAGTACATAGAAACATACCAAACAATTGCCTTATAGCCCGATTATTTAAGGCAATTGTTTGGTTATGTTTCTATTATTTAAATTTACCAGATAGTAGATCAATAGAAAAGAATGGTGACTTTCATAAAGAAAACAAAAAAATTTGTATTTTGTCTATTGTTCATCTCTTATTTTGTCTCTCAGTTAACAGTAGTCCAGTTGACCATTGTCCAATTGATGATATCCCTAAATGTAGGCATACATTATAGATGAACTATCAGATGGCAATGAGCTTGTTTGAGCTTGTTGCCTTGTATTTTTACTCTCCAAGCAGAAAGTGGGACATTTAAGCATCCTGACAAGACAAATGAGACAATGCAGGATGTCTGGTCACCTTACTTTACACTGAAAAACCTTCCATTTCCACATTTGAGAAGTTTCTGGCTTATAGTAAAATTTAACTCAGAAAAATGCTTCATTCTGAAGATTTTTCAATTTTTGCAGGGTTTCTGTGTTAGACAGGTTTTACTTTTCATTTCAGGGATGTCAAACTTTGTCACTGTAAAAGCTATATATTGCCTATCAGAAATATGCAAGAACTGCATTTTCTATTAGAATGTCATTTTATATTACATATATAGTTAAAATATTATAGTTAACACTATTAGCTTACTTCACTGATACTTCATGACCAGCTAGGTAAACATTCATTTAATGTTGACTTTACAAACATCCCTTTAGTTTTCAGTTTGTCTGTTCAAGGTTAAGTTGAAAATTATGCTTACAATCTGTGTAGAAATTACATTACATAATAATCAGAAAACTTACAACAATGTGTAAGTAGTATGTACAAGTTTATAAAATGAAATTATATAAGTATATGGGAGCCACTGTAAGGGTTTAAAATAGCTGCATGTGGCTCATGAACCACAGTTTGGCCACCATGGATATATTATATTTAATATGTATCATAAAGTATGATAAGAAATAAAAAATGAATTTACTGTGTGACCATAATTAAAGTTTTCCTATTCAGAGCACTTTGTAGTTGTAATCAATAAGTAGATTGACATCAAAATTTGTAAATGGACTGTGCAATTGATGAGGAAAAGGATTTGCAAAAACAAAATTTAATTGAAAAACTTCCACTAGGGATGCTTTAAAGCAGGGCTTCTTAAACTTTTTTTATTCACAACCCCATTTATGATTGTGATTTTTTTCGCAACCCAAAAAAAATATAAAATAAAGATATACAGTATACAAATTTGCAAAAACAATAATGGTATATTACCACAGTTTATTCTTGTGTTACAATGGAACAGAGACAACTGAATACACTGAAAAGCAACAATACTACACTAGTTCACACTACAATCAATGTTGCTGAATCGTTGTCTCACTGTACCAGAAGTGACACAAAGCACAACTCATGAAACCTATGAGACAAAGCATGCCATTTCCAAACTCTCACAAATTATTTTCAATATTTTGCATTAAAATCTCATGACCCCAAGATTTCGCTAAGCGACCCCAAATGGGGTCGCAACCCATAGTTTAAGAAGCCCTGCTTTAAAGGAAATATCTGAAACAAAGCAGTGAAAACATTTCTTTGTTCCACAAAGGATGTGCTTTCTACAGAGGCTGTTTACTGATGTAAGGAATGTTGCTTAATGTGTGTCCCACAAAAACAACAATGTGTTCTACAACTGACCACAAATTTTCTTCATTCTCTCAAGGTTAGTCTTTGTTAGTCACTGTCTTTCATTTCATGTAAAGGTTCCTCTAGCAGAAGTTTTTAAATAAAATTTTCTCTCCAAAATCCTTTTCTACATCCTTTGCATAGTTTGTATACAAATTTTGGTGGCAATCTGCTTATAGATTACACTCACAGAGTGCTGTGAATAGAGAAACTTTAATTATGGCCACCCTGTACAGTACAGTATATTAAATAAATTCTTTCATATAATGTAATTTTTCTTACAAATTAATTTGAAAATTATTTAATATATTACCAGCCATTGATTAAAATAGCATTATCAATTTTGCATGAATGGAACACAAAACTTTTCAATTAGAATTGAACTACTTGAACTAACAATAACAAATCATTAAATATTGAAATGACATGGTTTAAAAAAATAAATTGTAAAAAATTTCTCTTGAATAATTTTATTGTTTAGAACAGTGTTCCGTAACCGGTGTGCCCTCATTAGGTGAAAGGTGTGACATGAACTTTTACATATTCTATTAATTCCAAGTTTTATTTTTATATTTTTATCACAGTTACTGTGTTTCTTATGTTTCAAGTATTATGTATTTCAAGTGTTATTTCATAAGTGCCATAGCACATAAATGTTATTTCATAAGTGCTATGGCACTTATGAAATAACATTTAATAGTATCATATCATATGCTTTTGAGGGGAATAACATTTTGGTGTGCCATGTTGAGACATGTCAAGTCATGGGTGTGCTGCAAATAGAAAAAGGTTGCGAAACACTGGTTTAGAATTCACATAATGCATAGTACAGAAAATAATATACATCTATGAACATCTCAATTGTTGGTATATTTAATAATAAACCAAACAATTGCTGTAATGAATTAGGTACAGTAATACCTTGACTTATGCTACCCCGACTTACGCGAACTTGGAGTTACGCAATTTTCAAATCTCATGGATTCGTCTTTTGTTTGAGTGCCACGCAACTCTTGATTACTCACTCCCCCCACACTATTGTTCAGCTTACATGTTCAGACGTGTCGCGCAGAATCGACACATAGCTACAATTTATTTTGTGTTATTTATTTCTGTGTTTGTTATATCTACGGAGACTCGAGAGACTCTATGTGGTGATTTCTTGTAACCGTGAACGAATCAAAAGGCAAGATAAGGTTAACGAGAACATTTATTAGCTTACATACATCCAACTTGGATTTTACACAAATTGCGAAATTATACCCCGACTTACGCGGTTATCACTCGGTTTCACCTATCACGAAAGTTCGGGGTATTACTGTACTATTATTAATAATCAACTACTAAGTAATTTGATACTATAGGTAAGTGTTAGGTACCATCTCTTATTAAATTTAATAGTTATAATTAAATTAATATTTACTAAATTATTTAGAATATTTTGGAAAAAAAGAATCCCACAACTCCTGCTTACCATGTGGATGCGTTACCAATTACACTACCTAAACCTTCATCCAATCCCTGGTTTTCAGATGTACTGTATTTAATTTTAGATATAACCATTTACAGTTACTCGTGGTGCCAACTGGGGATGACTCCTGTAATCATCCACTTGGCACTATGACTTTACCCTGGCACTGTGTATACTGTATATACTTCTATGAACATGGATGGCAATCAGAGATGTCACCTAATGGTTACTTCTAGTAGTTAATTATTAATAGCACTAAATTAGCCTGATTTAATAGCACTAAATTAGCCTGATTCATTATGGTGATTGATTTATTATGCAGAAAAGAATTTTGTTATTGCACAATTACATTTTTTTGTTTTCATTAAACTTATTGTTTGTAATATTATTTTAATTATATGATTCTTACAAAACAAATCTCCAATCTTTAATTATGTTAATAGTATTTGATACATATTAATTTACAATGTTGATATGTAAAAGTAAATAAATTTTATATTAAAACTGAAAGATTCATTAGCATATGAATACCAGACTTTGGCTTACCTTTAACCTTTTGAGTTATCTCAAAATGATTATTAAATAAAATTCAATAATTGAACAATAGTAGATACCAGAGAAAATATGTCCCTATTTTTCAATTATATTTATAGTATCTTGATGCTAATCTCAAATAAATTTTTATTTAAAAAATATAAAATTTTCTGATACAATCTATTGAATTGGTTTTTACTATCTTTTCTAATAATAAATATTTTTTTATTTTATCAGAAAGAAAATTAGAACCCAGCTGGTACAACAGTATCCATCATTTTCAAGCAGTAATATCAATGAACTTGTCCCTAACAAAGATGAAATTACGCACATGAAACTCTTAGCTAATAATGGCCATACTATAACTGTATACTGTATTGGGCAAAATCCTAGCTTTTTTGTAGATGAAAATGTTATTTATCCAACAGTTTATACTTTATGGAAATTTCCTGATTTGTTACCTGTATTAACAACTTGGCCTCTAGTGTTTGATAAATTAATTAGAGGTGCTGATTTGATGTTGCCTGGACTGATAATTGATCAGGATGATGAAAATCTAGATTCATTGAAGATAGGAGACGTATGTGCAGTTAAGTTGGCAGGAAACAAATCAGCAATTGCAGTTGGGACCTTAGCAGTTACAGGAAATGAATTAAAGCTTAAAGGTAAAAAGGGCAAAGCCATGATTTTGGTTCACATATATAAAGATTTATTATATGCTTTGGGTGATTGTTCGGAATTGCCACTTTTAGAAGAGAAAATATATTTTAGTAACGAAATGAATGATGATGAGGACAATGGCAACAATGAAGTAAGTTCCGTATCAGTAATTGCAGACAATTTAGAGAGAAACTTGCAGGTTTTAGATTCTAATGAGTTAGCATTAACAGAAATTGATGATTTGAATTCTTTGGAGAAGAATACAGATAATGAAAATATAGAATGTAAAAAAGAATTATCTGTTACGGAACAAATGGATACTCTATTACTAAAGTGCTTTTTAACAGCACTTAAATCTATGGGTAAAAATCTCCAATTGCCAATTCTTACAAGTACTTTTTATAAATCCTATATATTAGGTTGTTGTCCTACTGATAATCAATTTGATATAAAGAAGACAAGTTATAAAAAATTATCTAATTTTTTACAAGAAATGAAAATGAAGAATATAATAAATGTTGAAGAACTTAGCAAAGGTGTAGAAAGTATTACAGAAATAAATCTAAATCACGACTTGATTAAATCTTTTGAATTAGATCCAGATTTTATGGTTAATAAAACATCTGACAACGAAACTAAAGAAACAAAATCATATCAAATGCCAGAAATAAGAGAGTTATATACTGTAAATGCAGCTGTTTTACCATTTTTTACTTTAATGAATTATAGGTAAGGTTAAAATTGTAAAATTTGTAAACGTTGGAATAAGTGTTTATGTCTTCTGTTAAATTTTTGGCTTGGTACAAGAATGTTTCATCCTATTACCTATTTAAACGATATATTTTTTTACGATAAGCTCAAAAGATATTTTTACAGGTAACTATAATTTGTAGATTTCCTGTAATCCCTTGTGATATACAAATTTATTCAAATATGTGTAAACTTATTAGTTTATGTTTGCTAAATTTTTTAAGTCTTTTTATTTAAGGTTGTCTAAAACCCATACTTGTTTTTAAGAGATGAAAATTTAAAAGTGGGAACTTATTTATGTATGGAAATGATGATGAATCCAATAGTAATCATATTGAAGACTTTTTTGGATTAGTCAGTCCCAAAATTTTTAACTGTATTTGTTATATTTAATTATAATGAAAATATATATCATTTTTCATTAAATACTTACAGAATAAATTCAGTTTTTTTGTAACAAAATTATTTCAAGTTGAAAATAATCAAGAAATTATTTCTAGCTTACTGTTTGGAATTGACCCAATGCCAGTATTATAGATGCACAAACTTTAGAAACTTTTGTTGTCTCTAACTGATGTGTGAAAGGAATTTGTGGAAATTTGAATTATTTTCTTCTTACACATTTTTGTAGCCTTTATATTGACATTGTTCCAATCACATAAAGTAAGAATAAAAGATAAATTTTGGTTATTTTCAATTGAAAGTTAAGATGAGAATCTCTATTCTTACACATTTCATTCTAAAATTTTTCTGATTTGAATTTTTTCCCTAGCTTCAACAGTTGAAAATTTAAGAATTACTTGACTTTCTCAAATGTTAGTTGACATATCATTGACATTTTTTCAGTATGCAGACATATTCCTATGAATATTTTTTTACAGTCATAGCATGGTGATAAATATATTTCACTAGAAATATATTATAAAATCTTGTTACTTAATTAACAATTTTATGGAGGGTTGTTATATTGCAATTTTTCTACAAAATGAATTTTTCAACTTGTGGTTGTTCTATGTTAAATTTGAATTTGACAATGAGATATAAGAAAATGTTTTTCAGGACTATCAAGTAATAAACTGACTTCTTAAAATTATTAGGTTTTGTCGTATGGATGATATAAATATGGAGTTGTTTATTAAAAGAGAACTGATTATCATAAAACATTTTATAACATATTAAAAAGTGACTACTGTCATCCACTTGGCCTTCATCATAGAAGACAAAAGAATATTTTGAGTTTTTTCTAATTATAATGTTTTGTTTTTGAATTTGATAGAATACTGCTGCTTACTATTCCATTTTTGTAATGTAAAAATTTCTTACTGTAATTGCTAATTTTGTAAAGTTCTTAAAGAACTATTGTTGATAAATTTTGAAAATGAGAAATGAAATACAATAGACTCTTGCTAATCTAGCCATTCCTTGTAGAGAGAAGTGCTAGATTACTGTGTGTATGTATGTATGCATGCCTAAAGGCAATGAATGATATGATCTATTGCCTATCAGTACAGATTCCTTTTGTAGGCAGGCAGGTAAATAATACTATACACAGAAATGAAACCCAAGAAAAGATAATGACTAATTTTTTCATGAAAATGAAAGTGTATCATAGACAATCACATAATTAAGGCTTGTATACCAGATAATTCAGAGGCTGGATTATTGGGGGTATGATTAATCTGCTGTATTACAATCATATTTTAGTGTCTGATGAAGGATGGAAGTTTTTTCTTGGTCAATTATCAACTACTTAATAATTGGTTTATATTATGAAAATATATACATTCAACAAGTCACTCTCTTCTTTGGACAGTTTCAATATAAATTTAAAATGGAAATCAGTTTAAATTTTTCTGTTAGCTTTACATCAATATTATATTTTTGCTTGAGGTAAAATTAGTTCAACTAATTTGAATTACAGAAATATCTTAGTTGAAATCATATTCCATTATAATATTAAAATTCATGAAAGCTCATTCTGTGTTTGTAACTTTTTATCTATTGCAGGAAGTTTATTTCCTTTATGGTTTCCACAACAGAGTTTTTCATTATGCAATTATTTTCATTATTATATGTAAGTAGCATATCTATTGTGAAATGACTGTCTATCTTCTAGTAAGCTATGTAGATTATAAAGCCACACCAACTGCCATATAAGATTGGGCTATTTTCTGATTATTATAATTTTAATTACTAATTAATTTGTTCCAAGAGGGAGACGTTAGGTACCATCTCATATTAAATTTAATTAAATAATTTTAGANATCAAACTTATTGAATTTCATTTGTAATCTAAATTTTCAAAATTTCAATTTTAAAGTTTGTTAGCAATGGGCCATTAAACTAATTAACTTCATAAATTTTGGTATTAATTCCCTGTTCAAGTAGCATCTGAGAACACTATTGATCAATCATGTGATTATTTTAAGGAATAAAACTTGCTTTGCAGAGTCAATATTTTGTAACATCTCACGTATGTCTTATGGGCTAAATGACAGGACAACTTTGAACAACTTAGGCATGAAAAATCTTGTGCACCAACATCTGAACTGGTTTTACTATATAATGTCATTTTGAGACCCTTGGCAAATGCCAGGTTTGCCATGTATTAATTTAAAATGTCCCTACATGCTGTTTTCTGGACATGCCTTTAGTTTCAAGTTCCTCATCTGCAGGTTCACCCAGCTTAGAAATAAACTGTTCGTGGAAATTGTCAACAGAAGCTCATTCTCTTGTGGTGTAGCAATATATTTCAGCATGCCATGCACTTCCACTATGATGTGTAGCCTGCCATAAATGTAGGTACACGACAACTTGGTGAGAAACTTAAAAATTTTTGCATGCCTAGCAAGCATATGATTTTGTGGATATTATTTATTTTTTTATTTGTAAATATTGGTAAAATATCTTGTATATAAATATGGTTAAGACTTATCAACCATGTGTTACATGTTATTTCCAACTTAGGAAAAGGAAATTTTTTTGAATAATGTATCATAACATCATTAATTATTTTATGTCAGAATGGTTTTCTTTGAACAAAGCTCAAAGAAAAGCAGTTTTTCGAAAACAAATTCTTTCAAAGAACTTTTATACTTTTTTGTTTTAATTTATGTTGTATTTAATGTGTAATGTCATTTATTTTTATGTAATTGTTGTCTTTGTTTTTACATATATTTGTCAATTTTGGTGGTAGATATCAACTGTTCTTTGAGACTTTTCTATTTATTTATAACAAGTAAAACGGCAGAACCGTGTTTGGGACAAGACTCGGAGACTCACTACTAAGTGGAATCACTTTGACGTTCAAGGCAGGTCTCATTCTCATTCTCCAATCTTTGGTATCGCTGCTTTTGGGCGCAATCGTTCAAACTTTGCCAGCCATGATGCATTTTTGATGAAATTAGCCTATCCAATTTTGAAATTTCTCTCCACTGCGTGTCAGCTCAGGTTGAATTTTTGTCAATGAGTAACGAAAAGTTCCCTTCCCGTTTTTGAAAAAAATAATCGTGGCTATTGTATCGTCCGAAATTATTCAATATACAGTTTAACTCAATTAAAATGTCATTGAATGTAACGACAACCCTAATATAACATCAAATTTTTATCAGTCCTACGATTTTACTATATTAGATAATGTTAAAAAAAACCCACTTGTAATGACATAAAACCATTTTAATGCCATATTTGAAGCACTCCCAAATTTACAAAAGTAAATTACAAATTTTATTTAACATAGAAGAAACTATGTGTTCAGTCCTAAAGTCAGAGTTCACTTCTTAGAATGACTGTGGGTGGTACTCTCCCCCACCTGATTTTTGAGGTGGCTGTTTTGCCTGTTTGTAGAAGAGGGTCGGCATTTTGTATTTTATTTTGACTCAATTCTCGGTCCCCTGACTACCTACAAGTCTGGATTTTTTTTATGCGCAAATGATTTGGGCACCTAATACTCTGTGCCAAATATCAACTCTCGACATGTACTCCTTCATACCTCTATGCTGGTAAGAAAATCAGGCAGTACGATTTTATAAACAAGACATAGTCTTGTCAAAAATAAATAAATAAATACAGTATATAATCTATATATATATATATGCTTGTTAATCACAAAATCGTTCTTTTAACTCTTAAATTTAAATAATATTTCTTTAAATTGTTTCTTAAAAAATATTATTTAAATAAGTATATCAAACATCGCGAAGTCTGATATGTACAGTACATAGAAACATACCAAACAATTGCCTTGTAGCCCGATTATTTAAGGCAATTGTTTGGTTATGTTTCTATTATTTAAATTTACCAGATAGTAGATCAATAGAAAAGAATGGTGACTTTCATAAAGAAAACAAAAAAATTTGTATTTTGTCTATTGTTCATCTCTTATTTTGTCTCTCAGTTAACAGTAGTCCAGTTGACCATTGTCCAATTGATGATATCCCTAAATGTAGGCATACATTATAGATGAACTATCAGATGGCAATGAGCTTGTTTGAGCTTGTTGCCTTGTATTTTTACTCTCCAAGCAGAAAGTGGGACATTTAAGCATCCTGACAAGACAAATGAGACAATGCAGGATGTCTGGTCACCTTACTTTACACTGAAAAACCTTCCATTTCCACATTTGAGAAGTTTCTGGCTTATAGTAAAATTTAACTCAGAAAAATGCTTCATTCTGAAGATTTTTCAATTTTTGCAGGGTTTCTGTGTTAGACAGGTTTTACTTTTCATTTCAGGGATGTCAAACTTTGTCACTGTAAAAGCTATATATTGCCTATCAGAAATATGCAAGAACTGCATTTTCTATTAGAATGTCATTTTATATTACATATATAGTTAAAATATTATAGTTAACACTATTAGCTTACTTCACTGATACTTCATGACCAGCTAGGTAAACATTCATTTAATGTTGACTTTACAAACATCCCTTTAGTTTTCAGTTTGTCTGTTCAAGGTTAAGTTGAAAATTATGCTTAC